TAGATGTAAGAGAGTTATCCATTGAAAAACCATCTTAGTCTAGCACTTCTTAATCTGTGAAACTGTCCGGCAAAGTTGAGCCAAGTTGTCTTGTTTTGAAGACTTCCTGTGGTGCCGCTAAATTCCAGCTCAAATGAATTCCCCCTCCATCTCCATCAGTCATTGGTATGAACGTCTGTTGACTTTCTCAGGCCATTTTTGCCTCTAAATCGAATCTCCTCAGTCGTATCATTGCTTTAATTGGTTTAAACCACCAACAGCATGATCAGTTTAAATCTGTCAACTCTTGGAGCAATTCAGAGATCGCTCGGTGCTGATGAGGAAACCTTGTACAAACGCAGATGTACAGATTGTTTGCTCAGTTGTGGCATTTTGCCTTCAGGAAGTGCCGCAATCGTCTCTTGGTTGTTGAGAGGAATATTTTCATTCGATTGCTTTTTGGATATTTTATGTATATGCTATGTATTTATGAATGTAAGACAATAATCATCTGCTACTTTCCCGTGGTCATATGGTAATATGTCGGACTGTAAGAATCAGAGGTGGAAAGTCATATGTGTTACTGTAATATTTGATATTATATGAGCGTCGCCTCTTGGTTCAGTATTTGTACTTTTGCTGCTGAAGTTAATTATTATTTTCCAAACCTTCTAAAGAACCCCTGTTTGATAGGAGGAGTTAGAAATGTATTCTGGACTTTGGGTTAACGATGCAAGAATGTCAGATGAACTTGAAGACTGCAGAAAGAGCTCAGAAAGTCTTGTTTATTTAATCAGAGCTACCTTTTTTTTATTCTTTTAATAATTGAAAGATCTACACAAATACTTATATTCTGGTGTTTTCTTTCCACCTCTGATTGTGCTGTATTTCCACTTCAACATTCCCAGTGTCCTGCCTATGTGTCTGTGATAAGGTCATCCAGGGCATAAAAAAAATGTGGTGCATGTTTTCTACTGGCGCCTGTTTCATGTGGTGTATTGAGACCAGTACCATAGGCTAACAGAACTGTGGAGTGAACATTTAAAGCACTATATGTAAACGTTGGATTCTGATTGTTGCTCTCAGAGCTGTGTCTCTAAAGGTTTGGATACGGGATTGATTATAATTTGTCTCCATTGAAAACAGTCACCCATCAAAATAAAGGGTAAAACTACAAGGTTGCTTTGTGTTCTTGTCAACTTGTGCGCTGCAGTGATTTGTCATTCAAACATTTATCAAGGTCATTATGGGAATTGTGGGAATATTTTTTTGTACCCTTTGTTCCGTCCGGGCCCGCCGGTGCCCGAGTGCAATAAAACCCGGTGGGGGCGGAGGGGGGTGCTGAATTGATTAGCTGCTCTCTCGGTATTGGCCACTTTTGGATAACCGGCACATCGCTGCAGCGCATGAATGCAGCGCGGTCAAAAGTCACCCAAAGGTTGCAGGGTCACCCCCAGTGAAAAGATGTGGGGTGCTGCTTCTCATCGCCTCGGGGCTGCGCCGGGACAAAGATGAGACGCACACTATTGAAAATGTGGCGCTTTACGCCTTCCCACCTGACCGTGGCATCTCTGAGCTCCGTGTGAATGAGGGACGGTGGTAAATTGACCGACGTCTAGACAAGAAGGACGTAAACAACATGTTTTGCTAGACACGATGCGACACGCCCCGTGTTTGGGTTTCACGCTTTCCGCCTCGGCGCTCCAGGCGACTTTTAACAGTTTGCACTTTGATTTGCGCAAGAAAGCTAGTGTCTGCACAAGTTAGTATTGCGTAAAACATCTGGAAATATGTCATCAGAAGCTGGAGATACAACTCTTAGCAACAGCCACAACTGCGCTTAGCGAGGAAACAAGACTATTGCCCTATTTATGAATGACACCTCTATAAATGCTGTCTGGGCGCATTTAACGTTGGATTTCTCACCGGAATGTGTAGCTCCGTGCGCACGGTTGTTGGGACAGCTTGCCACCACGGCCCCACGCTTTCTTTGATGTTTTTACAATGTTTGTCCAGTTGCTTAGCGCACGGTGCTGCTTCATAAGAGTTTCAGACACTGGACGACCATGGGGGCGGTCAGAGGGGCTGCCCTTTCCACCTCCATTCACACTCTGAAAGGCTGATGTTGCGTCTTTCTCTCTCATTGTGCGGCTTCGTTCGCTTATTTCGCTGTTCGACGAAATCGACCTGAATGAGAGTTTTGCCCACTGTTGCACGAGTTTTGTTTTGATTATCAAGGCGAATATTTCATGCGAGCCAACTGCACCTTCTAACCGCTTTTTCTGGGATATATTTTGTTCAGTGAATGTCCAGCGTATATGGGAACTCGTCTTGGCCTTTTGGATTGATTCAGCTCTCCTCTCTGCGCGCAGTAAATTGATTTCCACCATGTTTACGCACGGAACGGACGACCACATTTGAAAATCAACATCACACTTATTCCGAAAGACCTAACGGAGGAATGGATTTATCCGGTGGGCGACTCATGCAAAACAGCAATAATGTATAAAATCCCTCTACAACTTTTGGAGGATAGATGTATAAAGGATAAATGTTGGCATAATGCACCCAACTCAAATAAACCACAGTTAGGATGGATACGTGCGTATTTGTTCATGCTCTTGGTTTCCGAATTACCCGAACTTTCTTTGTGTGCAAGTGTGGCAGGACCCAAAGTTGAACACGAAGGATTTTGTCCCAACAAGCTGAATTCCAATCTGTGGGTTGATGCGCAAAGCACCTGCGAGAGGGAATGCAACGTCGATGAGGTGGTGCTATTTCTCTTATCCCCATTAGAGTTTTAGGATTTGTCCGTTTAAATTTGCTTCCATAAATGCTCTTTTTGTCTTTGCAGGACTGTGCTGACTTTGAGAAATGCTGCACCAACGTGTGTGGCCTCAACAGCTGTGTGGCTGCACGTTTCTCTGATGGCACCTCTGCCCAGCCAGATGGGCAGGGTGGAGGAAAAGGAAGTGATGCCCCCACCTCTACAGCTACCTGTGAGGGCTTTATCTGCAGCCAGCAGGGGGCGATCTGTGACATCTGGGATGGACAGCCCATCTGCAAGTGCCAGGACCGCTGTGAGAAAGAGCCCAACTTCACCTGTGCTTCAGATGGCCTCACCTACTTTAACCGCTGCTACATGGACGCGGAGGCCTGCATCCGTGGGGTGACTTTAACTGTGGTCACCTGTCGCTTCTTCCTGGCTGGGCCCCACACCAGTCCCCTGCCTCAGGACACTACAGCTAACCCCACCCCGACATCCTCCCAGGAGGACCCCATGCCCCCCACGCTGTACTCCAACCCTCACCACCAGTCCATCTATGTCGGAGGCACAATCAGCTTCCACTGTGACGTTATTGGAGTCCCCAGACCTGATGTAACATGGGAGAAACAGAGTGAAAGACGTGAGCACCTGGTTATGAGGCCTGACCAGATGTACGGCAACGTGGTTATCACCAACATCGGTCAGCTTGTCATTTACAACGCCCAGGTTTGGGATACAGGTATCTACACCTGCATCGCACGGAATTCTGCAGGAGTTCTTCGAGCTGACTACCCCCTGTCTGTCATCCGCCGGGCTGATGATGATTTCTCTGAGGATCCTGAGATGCCCATGGGGCGGCCTTTCTCACCAGCAGACTGCCTGGCTGAAGTAGACCTGAAAGTGTGCAGTGGTGAGCGCCACGTGGACTGGTACTATGACAGCAAGCTTGGCTCCTGCATGGCCTTTAGCAACGGTGGATGTGAGGACAGCCGCAACCGATTCGAGACTTATGAGGAGTGCAAGGCCTCCTGTCAGAGAGAGGGGACGGGCATCTGCTCCCTGCCTGCTGTCCAAGGCCCCTGCAAAGCTTGGGAGCCACGTTGGGCCTGGAATTCTCTCATGAAACAGTGCCAAGCCTTTGCCTATGGCGGCTGCCATGGGAATGCCAACAGCTTCAGCACCAAGAATGAGTGTGAGGCAAACTGCCCACAACCCAAAAGGAAACCTTGTAAAACCTGTCGAGTTAAGGGGAAAATGGTGCCCAGCTTATGCCGGAGTGACTTTGCTATTGTGGGGCGGCTCACAGAGCTGGTGGAGGATCTGGACTCTGGGTTGGCCCACTTTAGCTTGGAAGAGGTCTTGAGAGATGAAAAGATGGGCTTGACTTTCTTTAATACCAAACACCTCGAGGTGACCATAGCCAAGATAGACTGGAGCTGTCCCTGTCCCAACATCACCATGGAGGAAAACCCTTTGCTTGTGATGGGTGTAGTGCAGGATGGCATGGCCATCATCCAAACAGACAGCTACGTGAGATCCATTACTGAACGTAGACTCAAGAAGCTACGTGAGGTTCTGGGTAAAAAGACCTGCAAGGCATCGTGAAAGTCTCTCAGGACTTAGATTTACTAGCCCACAGAGAGTCTGTGGTTACCTTTACCTTTAGCACTGAAGATGAGCATCAGAATTGCAACAAGAGAAGTCTTTAAATTGAAAGAAACATATATGCTAAATGACTGTATGTGAATGAAGTTATGAGTCATTTGTATGTACAATGTGTATTCGTTACAACATAGGTTGGTTGTACTACATTCCAGATGTGTTTTAATATCAGTGCTGATGTGCTCTTTATATATAAGTTTAAATATAGATGTTTCTTATTTTTTTCTCCATATGTTTGTATTCTGAAAAAAGATAGTAGCCAGAGTAGCAGCCACACAGGTTAATGCAAAATGCATAAAGATATAGACACCTGCAGTATGATACCTCTAAATTGTGTTTTTCTCTTTTACTGTATTGTGTTTATTTTGTTTTTGGCTCTTTAGTCATTTGCATAGATGTTTTATATAGGTTTCCTTTTGTTGTTATGTCTGATTTCAAGATCTAATATACAGCCCATTGTCTCTTAAATATCTCCCTCTGCATATCACTTCTTAGCTTAACAAAATAACTTCACTGACAGTCTCTGCAAACTCAATGAAGAAATAAAGAGTAGGTGGCTTTATCAAGGTAAATATAGTACACAGACAACATATACGTGAGCCTTGTTCATTTTACTCAAGTGTGCAATACAGAAGAATACATAGTGTATAATAGATTACATTATTTCTGTTTTGATTAAACAATAGAATATGGGGAAACGATTCATTAACAGTTCTGGAAATGTTGGCAATGTGTCTGAGCTTCAAGTGTAAGTTAAGGCGTTTTAACCCTCCTGCTCCGGAACAACAGGATACTTCACACCAAACTCTCCTTCCTGAACAGAAGACACTTGTTGTTTGCCGGCATGTCCATCTAGTAAAGAAAACATTTAAAGTCATATATTTTTGAACTGAATCGTTCACATTCTTATCTTTTTACATTTTATGGATAAAACTCCAATGAGCTGTTCACTTACTATTTTCTCCAGGAATAAACCATTTCTTTGTGCTATAGTATTGAGGAAGGAGATATCCCTAAGTCCCCACTCTGGGTTCCTGTAAGATGAAAAAATATAGCCTTTATATATCCCACAGTGCATTATCTTTTGTATGGATGACAACAACAAGTGAACCTTCATGATTATGTATACAGTGCTGCTTTCGGTTATCTTAGTAAAATTCCTGACTGTCTATGTTTTTTGCTTTTGAGTCTTACCTCTGCCGTAGGCTGTAGTCAAAGTCAACATTACTTTGAGGGGTGATCTGACCATTCACTGCATAAGGCTGTGGGTAACAACAAAAGATGTTAAGTAGCATAATAGTGTCACCCTTTTATGTTTAGATTCGATCATATCTGATAACATGTCATGAATAGTAAGTATCATGTAAGAGGATGAAATGTTTTTTCACTCACCCCATATGTCAGTAAAAGACCTTGCGGCTTCAGCAATGCTCCAGCCCCTTTGAATAAACCCTGGAAGAAAATAATGATGTCTTAAGGTACCCGCATTCATCACGTGCAGTGGGGGTTGAGTGGCAGGAGGGACAAAGACTCCAGCCCTTTTTGTTCTTGGTCTCTTTTACAGACTGTAAGACTGGAGGTAGAAATGTGTAAATTGCTCACAGTTATTATCTGAGGAGTTACGAGTCAAAAGGGTCATACTGTATATTCACTCTGGGGGGCATACACTGCAATATTTCAGCCATATGTAAACAAGACCAGTCAATAGATCACTGGACAACACTTAAAGCTGGACTATGTACATTTTGAAAAAATAAATAACACAATCTTTCTTTTAGAAATGAAAAGTGAAATGTTTAAGCAATAAAAAACACTCCTGCTCAATCCAATACACTCGCAGGTTTTGCTGCTACAGCCTTGCCTGGTCTGTTATGACCAGTAGCATTTGCTTGCTAATGTTAGCTGACTTAAGATGAACCCACTAGGGGGCACTGAGTGAAAATGAGCTGAGGGAACTTAGTAATTACTTTTTGGATGGATGAGTTATTACAAATTAGTTGACAAATGTGCACCATGTAACTACAGCAGACACCAAAATAATAATGGCTCTTTTTTTAATATCTAGGTCCCGCTGTGCAGGTGCTTGTAAGGCCTTTAACATTTCAGTTTATATTGTGCTTTAGTGTTGCATAAGGTATTACTAAACAAATGTGCAATTTATCAAATGCCCACAAATGAAACGCCGCACATTAAACCTGGAGCCTGCGTGGGTCCTGAGGGCCCTGGGGAAGATGCAAGCTACTGGTAATGCAGTTGTGAGTCCATGGGTTAGATAAGCCCCTACCTCAGTGCAAGCCACTGGAGAAATGTGGATCATGTTGATGTTGACTACCAGATCCAGGCTCTCTGGCGGGATCCCTCCCCAGTACTGGTGAGGCAGAGAAGCATCCAGGTGGATGGCAGGCTTCACATTGTGCAGCTGGTAGTGGGCTCTGTACGCTTCTATACTGAGAATGGGAACAAAGACCTTATTGTTAATGCGGGCACACACCCCCCCAACAAAACACAGGTTTTACCAGCACAGTGTGCCTGTCCTGCACCAGTAGTATTAAATTCATTACCGTAATACCTGAGTTAAATGGCCAATGCCTTTCTTCAAGTTTGCTACGCAGAAACTATTGATACCGTAAACACCCGAGTTTATAAGTGTGTATAAGGTCCAGCTGTAATATGATGACTATAACAGAACTGATACACACAGCCTGTAGTTACCTGGCTAGAGACTGCCGGTCGTACTCTGATGGCTGCCAGATGATATTCCGCAGGGCCTGAGCGAAGTGTGTGACATGTTGGCCGGTACCGGAGGAGATCTCCAGAGCCTGCAGGGGTCTCCCGGTGTTCACGCTCTCCAGGAGCACCGCCAGGATGGGCTCCTTGTTCCTCTCCGCGGCGGCGGCGCTCAGCATCGTGCTACAGCCCGGGTATAACTGTCGAGTAATGCGGTACACTGTACGAAGCAGCCACTCCAGTGTACCTAAGTGCCGTCAGTCCAGATTGAATAACTCAACGCCACCCACGAATGTTTTGTTTTTCGGCTGAAAAAGGTCCACTTCCGGATTGTCTCACGTGACTGAGCCGTCATCCAATAAGGACACTGGGCGGGCGCCGTTATAAAAGAATGACCACACAAATACACGTTTTACATAGAGGGTTTCTTTATTTAAGGGAAAATAGCGGTCAGGTACACAGCCTATTTTTTTAAACAACATTTACACAGTATGAACGTCCCCCAGGCTCAGACTGAACTATTTAACAGACACAGCAACTTATAATAATTTAAAATCTGTCCGAGTAACAGGGCATAAATAGAAACAGCAGAAAAGAACAAAATGTTTTGGCAATCAAAAATATACATAACGGGATTGTCAGTGTGGTAAAGTGAAGGTTAACACAACACGATCTAATTTTAATGAGAAAAACAAAGGATACTTATCCACATGTAGGGCTATACAGAGTTTGTGTAAAAGAGACCCAGAATGGGAAAATAATACTGTGAATCTCTGGATCTGTTACACATTATATACATTATTAATGTGTTGTAAACGCTGGTAATGTTACTAAAGCAGTGTGAACCAAAAGTATCTAAACATATTTTTATTTACACCTTTTAAGGTTACTGTATACTCAGGTAGTCAGTGGAATAAAATGCAAACATATTAAATTACAGTGACTTAAATTGTGTGCTTCAGTCAATGATGAGAAGTAAAACCTGCTTTATTTGAACAAAACAATATTCAATGATGTTTCATGCAGTGGTGAGCGGCTTGTCCCTCTCCTCCAGCCCAGCTGCATGTTCTGCATTTTGACTCTTCTCATTTTCCAAACTGAGCAGTGTTTGTGGTATGTTAGGAGGAGACTCCTGGCTCTCAAGTGGACAGTCTTGTACCAGAGAAGCATTCAGACAGAGGAAGGTCTGGTTGTTGCCAAGGGCGTCCAGACTAGTCGTGGTTGTGACCACAGAATCACTGAAGATCGTGTTTGAGAAGACGGAATTGAAAGTGAACGAGGAGCCAAAAAGTGACTCCTGCACAGGGGTTTTGGGGTCTGTGGGAACAACAACTGTTGGGTCTCTGGGAGGTTTGACGGGAGGAATGGGCTCAGGCTCACTGTTATTGGCGTCTGGCTCTGGTTGCTTCTGACTGGCCTCCTGATTATTGCTCTCTCCTGGAGCCTGGATTGAGTGCGGTTCAGTCTTGACCATCACCCTGCAGTCGCTGTTTACACTGGAGCGTCGGGACGATCCCTCTGCTGTGGAAATGACACTGCTGGCTCGGGGGAGACTTTTGGGCGACCTGGACCCTTTCAGTCGCCCCTCTTTCCCCAGAGGGGTGGAGAAGCAGTTGAGGCAGCCAGACATTGAAGATGACTTACCCTGAACATACAGCACTGTGACAGGGGAACAAACTGAGGCCTGGGTAGTTTCAGCTTTGCTAGAGCTGGGTTTTGAATTGATCCCATTAAGCCCTGAGTTCATTTTGACTGCGCCCCCTGAATCTGACGAACGACGTATCACTTTCCCTCTTGACCCCCTTCGGATGCTCTTCGTCCCCCTGGTGAGCCAGAAGTCCTGAGAGAGCACAAGATCTTTCTGCTTTGGTGTAGCCTGGATAGCTGAATTCTGACTGCTGGTGATGGGCATGGTAGAAGCTTTCTCCTTGTGCTGCATCTGCCTCATTGTGTGTTGGGGGGTGGAGGTATCGCTGGGTGGCTGGTAAGAGGAGGAGGAGCGGCGTGATGGGGGCTGCTGAATGGGGCTGCTGCCATTTGACCATGGCTCATTTTCCAGGCTCAGGCTGAACTCACCGCTGCTCTCACTTTGGGCTCGACTCTGGACGCCATTCAGCCCTGGAAAGAGATTATGATGTTTGTATTAAGAGCTACAATACAATAATATTCTTACTGATCAACAGGGGGCAGCAGAGTCTCTCTAAAGGCCTCTGCGTCAGCATAGAGATTAATATGAAACAAGGTCATGATTGCAATTTGATGGATTTACTCTAATTCCTGAGCTGGTAATACATCTGTATGCTTGCTGAATCCTCTAAACGAGTATCCACAGGGCTTTACCGTGATTTTGAAGCTCGTCGTTGTCCTCAACTCCAGATGGCACAGCGCTGTCATTCGAATCCTTATCTGTGGGGCATAAAGTGAGAACTCACTGAATAGTTACAAGCAGTTGACACGTCTGGCTTTCTATGTTTCAAATGAGAAAAAGCACATGAGAGTGCCGTCTTTGCTCTACTCTCCTCTACACTATTATTCTAGCGTCTAACTACTGAAGATGACATCAAACAAAACAGTGGCTCATGAATGCCTCTACCTGTCACCCAAAGCTCAGAAACATCTGGGACCGTGTCGGTGGTGTCAGTGGTGGTGGTGGTGGTGACGTGGCCAGATGGTAGAGTGGTGGGATGATTAAGGTGGAGGATGGACAAAATGGATGTGGTAAGGGATGAGGTCAGTGCGTTCTTCCTGTCCTCCTCCACATCAGCCTCTGACCCTTCCTCCTCGAACAGGGCCGAGGGGTACACCAAGCTGCTCAGGGCTGCGTTGTTGGACCAAGGAGTGGAAGAAGTGGGGAGTGGATGAGGCAGGGGGACAGACAGGTGATGTGGTCATGGAGATTAAAGGTATTTTTAAAGGTTCTGTGGCGTGGAAACATGGAGACAGGGATGGTTTGCTTTCTCGATTAACAACACAACAGTCTAAAGTTGTGGTTTTAAACTGTTAATGTTTCCTTACAGTGTAGTGGTAGGAAAGAGCTCATGCAGCACCAGTGTCCTCCTGCAATGCAGCATTTCTTTGACCTCTATTAATACCCCAGATTGTCTTCAAATATAGCCACTTCGCTAGAAAATAACTGGTGCAGATGCTTAAAGCTGTAATATATTGAATTATTTTAGGTTAGTGTGGTGAAATGCAAACATATGACTGCCAATTTTATTCTGCTGGGAAGCATCCTTGCTGACAATCCTATTCAAACTAGGGTTATTTTTTTGTTATGGCATGTAGCAGATGGTGACAAATAAAATAAAGCATAGGTTCGGTATTATATATATATATATATCAAGTTAGCAATGAAATAAAAGGCTACAGTCAAGATGAGGGTAAACACTGGACCACAGTCTTTCTTACACATGGAACGACGGAAGAGGGACTTGACTTTGTCTTTGTCCTTCAGCCTGTTCCTCATACGGGGAAACATTTTCAGAGTGGCTATTTAACAGCAAGTGCAGCCACATGGGAGGCAGATAAGGGGAATGATGTAAGGGGGGAGAGAGGTAGGAAGGGAAGAAAAAGACAAGGGAAAGAAGGGAGGAAGGCAGGAGCGAAGAAATGCATTAACAAACAAGAAGGACACAGGGAACTGAGGACTGTTGAGGAAATTTCACAAACATCATGCATCAGGAAGAATGACCCTTTGGACATGACACACACACACATGCTCTCTTTTAAACACAATGTGTTTGCAATATTTATTTATTACATCGAGGAACTAGATCTTCTTCTTTAAAGACATGCTATCTTTTCTGAATTACTAAGATCTCATTCTTTATGTGTAAGGGTTTGTAAAAAGGTCAATTAAAGGGCCATTTTGAGAATTTCTCTCCAGCATTTCCAGCTTTTGTTAACTTCAATGAATAAAACTGAGACATGACAACAGTGCTTAAACAGTTTTACTTTAAAATCCACTTTGAGTTTTTGTTTCTCCTTGAAAACTGCTGAGGTGTAGGGGGAAGTTTTGTCAAATATGTCTGTCCTACAAATGCAGCTTCATGTGCAGATGAACCAGCTGAGGCTGTTGATTCACCCTCGCCCCTCTGTCCTCTGGCTGTGGGCTGGACCTTACACGAACACACTCCTGAATGATCTATGTGCTTTGCTTCTGATGATGATCTTACTTCCTGGTCTATGGCTGAAGCAGTGAAGGGGGGACATTGGTACTTTGATGAGACCGATTCCACCAAGTCAATGGGAGATGATCTGGTAAACTGAAGAAGGTCATACTTACTGCTGTTACGTCGGGGTGAGAAAGCATCACCTGCTGAGGTGGAAGCTGAGCCTCCAGACCCATCTGAGCTGATGAAAGAGCTGTTGTCGTGACAGAAGAGGGGTGGCTCAGCAGCACCCGAGTGTGTGGGTGTGGGTGGGCGGTCGGGCCCATGCTCACGGCTACTGGATTTAATCAACTTCTTCAGTTTCAGAGTGATCCAGTTTCCACGTCTGTGGAGAGGCAGATATATGAGAGCAAAGAGAAACCATAACAGAATGAGACACAAATAATGTAGATATAGTAACATAGATGGGGGCCGGGCTGGTCCACAGAGAAACAACACCATCACCAATAAAAAATCACCAATCATGCAGAGGTGAGCTAGACTAGCAATGGATGTTAATGCTTGTCTACCATTCAGATTAAAGTATATTTAAAGCTGCTGTTATCAATATACGTATATTAACAATGGCTACGACACAATGTTTCTGTGAAATGGGTGACTCATAGTGACGGACCCATACAAAAGCTATAATCTGACTCTGTAATCTACAGGGCATTTAAAGCAACTATCTGGTGACCACAGCAGAGCATTTATCAGGTAAAGACTTATTTCCCACAGGAAGTGGAAACTAAAAACAGAGTTAAAAAAGTTAATTCAGGTGAAATATGCAGGTGAACTGAAATAACATAATTTGAGACTCAATATTTTCAAGAAAGAATGTGGAAACAGACAATTGACCGATCACTTAACCATAGTAATGGTGAAAAAAATCATAATTTATCACTGTTATAGACAACTTACCTGCGAGGAGGTGATGGCTCATAAAACTTGTACTGGTCCATTATCTTTTCCTCCAACTTCTCCTTCTGCCTTCTCAAATCATTAAGCTTGTCACTGAAAAGAGACGGGCAGATGGATCATCAGTTATAATTGTGGGATTCCTGTTGATTACTGTGGTATTTTGGTGTCCTGAATAGAGTACATTTTGTGCTGTTTGTTTAATATGCTAGCTCATTATCAAATTACTGTAACATGCTGTTAATCCACACAATAGATCCTATTTAATGCTACATTATCCTGCCACAGTATTAGACCCATTTGCTTACATATACTGTCGCTCTTCGACGTGAAAAAGATCCTTGCTCTCCATAGTCTGCTCCAACAAGGTTCGGTTCTGTAGCATCAGGGTCTCGATCTGGCTGAGCAGGTGGCGATTCTCTTCCTCCAGGTTGCCCTTCAATTGGCTCAGCAACTAAACAGGCAAGCGGGCACAAGTGCACATATGTAAGCATGTGTACAAAACACATACGATCATGGAATTAATTGCAATGCTATACATAAAGTCAGCTTCCTGAGCCTATGTAGCACTGACTGAGAGTTTGAGTGTGGGGAGGATAAGAGGAAATTACAAGATTATATTATGTAATATGCAATACAACAGCAGCTCAACCTGCCACATGTCAATACCTCACACTGGTTGGTGAGCTTTGTGGAGGTGATGTCCAGCTGCTGAAACTCCTTTTTGAGCTTGGAGAAGTCGGCCTCTAGCCAGGTGTGCTCCAGCTTGGCCTCATTCAGCTGGCTCTTGAGCTGCTTGTGATCCGCCGTCAGCAGCTCGTTGTCATTAAGAAGCTGACGGTATGTCTGGTTCAGCCTTAAAAAAAGAAAGATGTACAGTGGTGTTTGTCCAAGCATTAGTCTAGGTGTGTATTGGTGTGTATGTGCTCCGGTGGCTTGTGCCTCCTCACCAGTCCTTCTCGTTACGGAGCCTGCAGCATTCAGCGGCAGTGGTCCTGTGCTGTTCCTTCTCCAGAGCCATCCTCATCTGCTCCTCCTTCAGGGCTTTCTCAAGGCCCTCTAGCTTGGTCCGCTGCTGCAACAGGCTATTGTACCTAAAGATACCACCAAATAGACACACAAACACATGCATGAAAACACACATACATGAACATGCTGGTACCTCGCATGGCATGATAATTTATCCACATTCCGTATATCTCTCCTTTCCCCAACCTGTCCTGCAGTGTGCGATGCTCCAGCTCCAGTGTGCGATGTGCATTTTTCAAGCAGCCATGCTTGCCCATCAGGATCTCAAACTCCATGGCCTGACGCTCATGCAGAGCTGCAAGCCGCTCGTGGTCTCGTAATAGCTGCTCGTGAACACCACGCAGCTCTTCACGTTCCCGTATGGCACTGTCTCGCTCGCTCTCTGTCCCCGACTGCTGCTGCTGCAGCTGAGCATTCTGAGCCATGAGGGAGGCACTCTGTGAGTTCAGAGTGGACTTCTCCACCTGGAGAAGAAAGGCAGTTAATGTAGCATGAATGCTTTCAATGTGTGATGTCTGCATGCATATTGATGCAGAGGCTTTACTGACAATCTTACAGGACTCTATCGGTGTACCACAGAGAATAGTGTGTGTTTTAGTGGCACCTGCAGGTTAGCGTTGTGTGTCTGCAGGGCTGTGTTGTTCTCCTGCAGTGAGGCAGCCTGCCTCTGCAGGGCGAGGATCTGAGCCTGCTGGCTGTCAGACTGACTCTCCAGCTGCTTCAGCTGGGCCTGCATAGCCTGGCGCTCTGCTTCCAGTGTCGCATTCTGGACAGGGGAGGAGGGGAGAGGAGTGGAGAAGAGAAGAGAGAGCCAAGATGCTGATACCACTTTGACTAACTGTCCAATATGTTGGCTTTTCTAATTATTGTAAAATGTGTTTACAAGAGGAAGAAGAACATAAAAACCAGTACATTGTTTGGTCTATTATTAGCATAAATCAACATCAAAAGCAAGTGCTAGTGTATTTAAGAACAAACAGTATAATTTTATAAATTGGTCACTGTATAGTTCATCCACTTTAATAAGGGCCAACCACTGACATTCCTCTCCACTTCAATGAGACGGTCTTTGAGTTTCAGCAGTTCCTTGGTGGCCTCCTGGCTTTCACGCAGCCATTCGCTCATTGTCCTGCCAGTCTCTCTGGGAGGAGTGGAAGTCAGTGCTGTCTCTTCCTCCTGCCTCTGTTGCAAGGCCTCATAGCTCAGTTTCACCTATGAGGTCAAAAGTGTCAAACACTGTAACAAAGTACAATGCCTTTCTTTCGCCAATATGTCACTTACAGATCTGCAATGGTACATTTTATGACATGACTTACAGTCTTAAGCTCCTGGCGCAGCTGCTGGTTCAGGTTGGAGGATTCCTGCAGACGAGCCTCCAAAGCTGCCATCTTGTCATTTTTAATCTGAAGAGATTTTTTCAGAGACGACTCCAACTCTGACTCCAGCATCTTGAACCTGCTGCATAGGGGAAATACGGAATTTTGTACCAACTGTGGCTTTATAACACTCCTCATTTCTCACAATATTCTCTTCAAATGTTATGAAACGTATGTAAGCACCTGTTGTCTGGTGCCTCCTGTTCAGCCTGCTGTGTACTATCCTGGTTCAGGACCTTCATTTCCAACTCATGGGCCAGCCTCTCCAGTTCATTGCCTCTCTGCTGGGTCTTCAGCTTTTCACTTACCAGCTCCTAAAAATGGACAGTATACCTGGATTACACTACATAGTATCTTTAAAGAGACATTTATTGACATTTAATGTTATTTTTGGAACTTAAACTTCCAGAACACATTTCATTTTACTGCTTGGGAGAAGCCTTTTTTGAATGATGTTCTAGGGGTTTTAACCAGGAGATAATGACCAAATTTTCATTAGCAGTAAATCTGCGCATTTTATGTTAATCTGCAGGTAGTAGCATTTACAGTAGAAGAATGCTTTCTGAGCAACTACGTTACTGTCACTGTGATGCAAACACATTAAATTCATTTTTACGTGCTGTCATTTTTCAAAATAAATGTTTGTACTTGTTTTGTGAGTTGTGGATCTTGCATCTGTTCAAATCATAAAATCTATCAAAGGTCAAATCTGAGAAGCTCTGTGAAACACATGCACAATGCTGCTGTAGCTTTATCAGTGAAACGTTAGGGCAGATTATTTATTCAGTCAGCATAAACTCGACAGCACAGACTTCTCCCCTCACCTCTCTGAGGGTGGCCAAGGTCCTCTGGTCGATAGCAGCTTGCTTGGTCAGTTCTCTGTTGTCTCCCTCCAGGCCTTTGACCCTCTCAGCAGTTTCCCTTAACACCTCAACCTCCTTTACAAGAAAACGCATCTCCCTCTCCAGGCTGGCCATACAGACATTGCTGCTGTCTAAGTTGGCTTCCTGGATTTCAGCCTGAGACAGAGGAACATGGAACAAGGAAACATTTATTCAAGGACAGTGTAAGTCTTCCAAACATGATCCTAACCTTACTGACACCTTGCCCTTTGAAAACCAGCCTACTTACCTGCTGGCGGAGTCGTCGATTCTCTTTCTCTAGTTGCCTCTTTTCCCTCTCAAGGACTGTGGTTTCTTGCTCCAGGCTTTGCTTCTCTGTTTCCAGTTGCTCCAGGCGTCGGGCAGAGATCCGGAGTTCCTCTAAAGTGGCCTGCAGACTCTGGTTCTCTGCCTCCAGCTCCTGAACCTCCGCTTGCAGGCGCTGAACTTTCCGGTCTAAACAAATTGACAAATCAGTAATTGTATGACTGAATCACTACGATCTTTAATGTTTATTTGATCTACAGAACCTACCGGTGTTATCAAGGGAAGTCTGTAGATGCTGATTAACCGTGTCCAGGGCCCTGCACTTGGCCTCTAGCCGCTGTGTGTGCTTGCTGGCGTAGGAGGACCGTGTTGGCAGACCTGTGAAGATGCTGTCATGGCAGGGACTGCTGCTCCTAGAGCCAGGGGAGCGATCACGTGATCCAACAAAACAATGGAGCCTGTTGTGATTGTTTTCCAAGACTTCCAGATCAGACTGTTCTTTGAAATGATCTCCACTGTTCCTGTCCTCTAGCTGTCCTTTCTCCTGAATATGAAGGTCTGTATTATCTGTGAGGAGGATCTCACTCTGAACTCCCTCCAGTTCTTCTGCGTGGAGCGGCTGATGGCAGTTTGAATCTCCATGAAGCATCTCCTGTGTTTGTTCATCTGTTGACGAGGTACAGTTGTTGGTGCTACACACCACTTGGCAGACATGGTCACACTCAAGGTGGTGGCTATGTTTGGGCTGTGTGCTGTTGTTCATAGAGGCAGCTCTGAGATCCTCTATGGTCCTTAAGAGACTTTGGTTCTCCTTCTCCAGCTTCAGCATCCGACTGCGGGTCCTCTCACTCACCTCCTCGCTCAGGGACTGCTGGCCTTTACACAAACACATGATGACATTTAACCGAAGGAGGACTTGAGACAGACAGAATGAAGTACTAGTTGTAAAAAAAGGTGCTGTGCGCTGAGTTTAAGACACTCATGGAGACCTTTATTATGTCTGTGCACAGTTTCAATGTTTGTTGAGTGTAGCTTAGCTCAGTCAGTCTATCAAATGTCTGTAGGATCAGTAGCAAGTTTTTAAACTTTGTAATAAATATACCTGCACATTTAACATTCATGTCAGTTACATTAATTTGATATACAGTAATCAAGCTTCAAGAAAAGATTACTGACATAATAAATCTGTAAATCACAATTTACAATTACAATAAAATAAATGTTTTGGTGAAACCTGATCCATGTACATCGTGTAAATGACCTAATAGTCAAGTTCATGTTTCAGGATACATTTTAATAGCATGCAGAGACATAAAAAATAGATACAAAAAGTAGATAAAAAGGGCTACTATTATACTTATAATAAGTACTCATGCGTTAGATGTACACACATAATTTACATATCCATTTCCTTACCTACCATACCATTTCAACCAAACCCCTACATTTATTATCCTATTACTTCATCTTACTGTGTCACCAGCTCTTACCCTGAGAGTTGTCAGTGGTCTTAGACAGCTGCTCCAACTCCCAGCCCAGGTGCTGGGACTCCTCCATGCTCCTCCTCTGAGCCAAACACAGAGCCAGGTTCTCTTCCTGCAGCTCCTCAATCCGCCTCCGATCAGCCTCCCGCTCCTAAAGTGTAGACACAAAGTATCAGAGGTATTAGAACAGATTCTGTCCAGCTGCTGAAGGGACTATAAGGTTAATAAATCTGAAAGAGGATATCCATAGTAGAGTTCTACATGTTTTGAATTACATTGCCACTGATCTCTGTTGTCAGTTGTGGAAGAGGTTTAATAGAAGGCAACACAAAGATAACAAAGAAGACACCTATTTGTGTACCAATGTCTGACCTGTTCCATGTCGTGGACCCGGGCCTTCAGCAGCAGACTCTGCTTCTCCAGCTGGTGAATTTTATCTGAGCGTGCCCTCCAGCCTGCCAACTGATCCTCTAACACCTCTTTGGTCTCTTGTAGCACCCTGTTATCCTCCTTCAGCTCCTGAAGACACACACACACACACAAAAACTCTTAGATTTATGTATTTCATATTCCACACACTAAACCTGTTTGCTCATTAGCTACATGTTTTACCTTCTTGTTCATTTTTACACCTTATTATCTAATAAATCAATATGTAATTGATGAATTGCAGTACTCCAAGCATCTATAATCAAAATCACTGGTAAAGCGTTTATAAGACAGTTAACCTCCACTTTGGCCTTGTAGAACTCTATCTTGTGTAGTTGCTCTCTGTAACGTCCCACTTCACTCTCCAGCTTGTCCGCCTTTATGGCTCTTTCTCTCAGGGCATCCAGTTCGTCGCGGTAGGTGCGGGCTGCACGGGCATCTACTAGCAGCTGGGAGTTCTGGTGAGGGTTCAGACAGAGGCATACTTTATAGCTAAACTGTAAAAGCTCAGCACCATTCTTGGTCCTGGAAGTCACAAATATATGTTTTATGTCAGTGTTAGTTTGTTACATTATTTGTACTTAAAGCCGCATTAATCAATGCAGGATGTATTAACAGTACATCATGGGAACCTGTATTGTGAAAGGAACTCACCAGACTCTGCTTCTCTGTTTTAGTGTCTTTCACCTCATTGATTTGGTTTTACTGTCTGTTACTTTTGCTTTGATTCTGTCTCCAGCTCTCATCAGCCTCATTTTGAGGTTCTGGCAGGCAGCTGTTTTTAGCAGGCAGCTTTGATTAACCCACTGTACGTTATCAGCCCAGCACCAAAGGGAATACAGACATAGTTAGCAACTAGCCGGTGGAGCATTTAGCAGCTTAAGAGCCAGATATTTCCCTAAGGATGTTGGTGAGGACTAAATTGGAACTGAAAGGAAAGTGAATATTGGATTTACATTCATCAGGTGGACACAGACATGACTCAGTACGAATGCTAATGTTGCTTTGTGCCTGCTG